TGTATCCAGGATGGCGGTGACAACATTGCAATATTTCCTCTTAGCCTCCTTGGAAGGCTGTGCGGTCCACTGCTCGTCATCGAGAAGGTCCGGATGGACCCACATTACTTGCCCTGATGGCAGAGTTTGTGGAACCAAACCCTTCTCCCGCTGGTTGTGAGGATCGTCGTTAGTGATCTTCAAAACCGCCTTGGGGATAGGAATTATCCCCGCCGGAGCTTGAACCTCCGGGAGACCCGTCCCAAAGCTCAAAGTGACCATGTTCGCTGTCACCTGCTTTTGGACCTTCTCTTTCTTCAAGACTCCCGCGTCGTAGAGGGCCTGGAGTTTGTCCTTAAGGACGTAGCACTTGGTTGTGTGATGCCCAAGGAATCTGTGATATGCACAGTAACTTGGGTCACCGGTTTTGTCCGCCTCCTCCGGTTTGGCGGCTTCTGGCAACTTAATTCGCCCACTCTTGAGTAGAGTGTCGAGAGTCGCCACTACCTGGTCTTCTTTGAAATCATATTGCCGCTGGGGACGCGGTTCAAATTGCCTAGGTTTCGGCTTTTGAACGAACTTTGGCGCCGCGGCAGAGTCTACGGCCATAGCCTCTTTTCCCTTCGATCGAGGAGGGTTCTTTGGCGCCGCTGGTTCTGCTGCTCCCTTTTTGGACTGTGGCTCTTCGGCCTCCAGCCTCTTGATCATATTTTCAACTTGCTCGCCTTGGCGAACAAGTTCCTTCCAAGTCCGGGTCTCAACTGCCCCTATTTTGGACAGGATATGTATCGACAGATTGTTGCGGCACATCTCAATCAGCGTCGCCTCGGAAACTTGGTCCCGACAGTGGACTGATCGATTTCGAAATCTCTTTACGAAGTCGTTAACTGACTCCGACTTACGCTGCTTCTCAGCGAGGAGGTTGGCCATTGACACTTCCGTGTCGTCGTCGAAGAAGCGGGCGAGGAAGAGCTTTTCGACGTCGGCCCATGCCTTGATGGAGCCAGGCTCCAGTTTGCGGAACCACTCAAAGGCCACCCCCTTGAGGGTACCTATGAATAGTCGGGTGAGAATGGCGTCGTTCCCGGTGAGGAATCCGGTCTGCGCCATGAAGTAATAGATATGTTGCGAGGGTGACCCCTTGCCATCAAACTGGACCAAACTGATCGGCTTGAACTTCGCTGGGTATGGGACCGTGTCCCATTCGATAGGGTAGGGACGTACCACCCCCAGCTTGTTCATGTTTTGCTGAAGCTTCAGCGCGTTCAGTTGGTCCTGGAACTCGTCGAATCTTTTGTCACGGGTGCTATCCGCGGTGTGCGACGTTCCTATCGATGTTTTGGAGGAGTAATCGGATTGTCGATCATCCTCCGTCTCAGCCGCTGGACGGTGAGGTGGTACCCATTCTTTATCCCTAGTCTGCCGGGGCAAGGGACGTTGGGTTCCCTTCTTTTTCTTCTTGCTCAGCAGTTGCTCCATCATCTCTCTTAGAGAGTCGATGGTCGCCTGCTGTGCCTCCAACTTTTGAGCCATTGTCTGCTCGTGGTTGGTATCGGTCATGTGCGCCCTCGCCTGCGCGTCTTGACTTGAGCGCGAGGTCTGGGATGTGGCCGCCGCCGAATGAACCTCATCTTCGCCGCAGGAGGGAGGTATTAGGGTGGAATAGTCAAACCCAATACTTACCCCCCGGCGACTACGGGTTCGCTGGAATATGCCTTCCTGCCGGCGTCGGGCAGACCGGGTGTTAGGTCTTAAGACGGAGTCCGAGTCTGGCGAGTCGGAGAGTACCGCCTTCCCTTTATCCGTCATGTTGACTGTGGCGGATGAGAGTTCCAGGTCGTCAGCAGCGCGTCTCTTCTGGTGACGGCGCCTTCGACGGGAGGGCCTCGGTCGAGAGGCCTGTTGAGAAAGCCTCTCAAATACCGAAGGTTTCGCCGTTCCAACGCATTGGCAGTCGGCGAGGACCGTGTGGATGAGTCTCTCGCAATG